TTAAATCGAGGGTTTGTTTAACCCAGTAGAGGGGCGCTGAAACTCGATAAATGAGCTGGAACTTGGCTGAAATAGGTCAAAAGCTAACCTGAACAAATCATAAGCATTAATAGTGAGTGCAATGTCAATACAGGACCTCTGGGAGCCTTCTCCATCATGCCTGTGCTGCAGATCATCCCAGACACCTCCTCCTTACGTGGCTGTGTCTGCAGCTCCTGGTATTTGTCCTGTCCTTGCCCAGACCCTCTGCCCAGGCACATGCCCTCCCTGTGCCATCTGCTGACCTTGCAATATTTTCCATGTTATCCTTTGCTCTCCTCTTTTATTTTTAAGCAGTGATGCAGGCTCAGCAGGTGTGCTCCTGGGCTGCCCACAATCCCGCTGCAGCCTTTCCCATGGGAAGAAACAAACCAAGCACCTCCAGCCTAGGCAGAGCTACACTCAGCTTCTGGATACTGGTCAAGATGTGACAGGGATTATGTCAAGTTGCTTCTCCACACAGGAACATGTGCAGCTGCTGTGAACAGCTCAGGAGGAAGAGAGCGGCCTGGGCTGTCAGCAAGGCTCTCCGGACTCTCTGGAGGCACAGCCGGAGATCCCCAGCACCTCCAGCAGCTACTGCAGCCTCCACTTGTGGCCATGCCTGGAAAACGTTCAGATTTCCAGACTTTTTCTGGTATTTGTGCCAGGAGACTGGGCTGCGTGACTTTCTGAGCTAAATTTAGGATCACAAGTATTTCACATTCCCCAAGCACCGTCTATGACAACATCTCAAAACCCTTCATGAACATTAGCTATTCCTCATTATCTTCCTTTGAGATAGAAAAGCCACTTTGCTGGCAACAAACGGAGCCCCGAGTGTTGACTTGCTCATGGTCACAGAGGAAACCAACCTCCTGCACTCACAGAAACATGGCACATCACCTGCAGCACTGCTGCTGGGGTTAGGTAGGAACAGCACCATTGCTACTTCAGAATGATTTGGTTTAGGGGGCTCTGGTAGCTCTCTGTTGGGGGTTTTTCTGGGGGGACAAGGGTTTCCAGGACAAAAAATCCTGATGAGTAAATATCATTTTCTTCAACCTTTTGAAAAGTGCCTCAAGCCCCACACAGCCACTCCAAAAACCTTGTGGCAAGAGAGTGGATGGCCTCAGCATCTGGACCACTCTTCATGTGCAGCATGGGATGTAGTGCTGAGCACGCAAAGTGCCCCACAGTGTTCTTCGGCTGTACTCCACAGGCAGACAGCCCATGACAGCATTGTTCATCGCCAGCAAACTCAAACCAGAAGCCTGGTTGGCTTCTTTTGGGTTGATCTGCTTCAGATCTCCCCCTACTTGCTGGGCCCCCATCCTTCCCTCCGCACCCAGCCACCTTCCTGCAGCCACAGGGGAGTTTGGGAGTGGCAAGACTGTCCTGTCATTGTCTGCTCCCCATCATGGCTGGCAGTGCTGTGGGTCTTGCACCGTGCTGGTGGCCAGCCCTTCCACTGTTCTCTGGGTGTCCCCTCCCAGCACTGACGTAGCCAATGCAGCACCTAAGCTCAGCACCAGCCACCATTAATGGCAATGTAAACTCATTTTATTTTGCACTCAAATAGATTAGGTGATGTCTGTGCCTGAGGGAGCAGCAGGTGTGAGGGGAAGGGCTACTGCCTCATGTACCCACTGCAGCACTGCCTACGGGAACATCCTTGTCCCTGCCTTCATGTGCTGGGCACCAGCACAGGTCTTCCCCTGGGAAAAGGACAGAGCTGCATCCATACAAAGGTGCCCTTATACTCATGGACCTGAACTGCTACTCACAGCACTCCTGCTTTGGTGAAAGAGGACAACCTCACCAGTAGAGCCACAAGGCATGACCTCCTTTGCAAACACAACTCAGGTCCTCATGCCTCCATGAGCCAGAGTCGAGGACTGATGCCTGTTGCCACTGGTGTTAGGCTGCTCATCTCTAAGAATGTGTGAGAGCCCTTTTCCCTCCCCCTTTTCCCTCCAGCAGCGAGATTTCTCAGCTTTCAAGCCTTGTTTTCCCTGGAAGGAAGAGAAGCTGCTGGAAGCCAAGCAGTGAGAGCGCAGCGGGGCAGGGAGAGCATATTTGGAGGGTATTACGTGTGGCAGAGATGTGCCAAGGAGGAAAGCTGCTATCAGGGATCTATCTATACATGTGCAGCTCCCCGAGGTGGGGTTAAAGAGAGGCTCATTCCGGGGCTGTCTGTGGCACTCCCTGAACAACGGCAGGCCGCGCTGCCGCCGC